AAAATATATATATAAATTTACTTATATCAATATTAGTAAAGATACAATTAATAAAAATTAATCTATACATACCAGAAGGATAGTGGCAGCTGGTTGTAAAAAAACATATAAATAAAAATTTGCTTATATAAATATCAGTAAATATATAATTAATAAAAATTAACTGATACAGACCAGAAGTAGGAGAAGTACCTGACCCTACGGTTGCAAGGACGGCTAGTTGTAAAAAAAAAAATAAATATAAATTTACTTATATCAATATCAGTAAATATGCAATTAATAAAAATTAACCTATATATACCAGAAGGATTATCCGACTCTACTATTACAATGGCTGCAGCTAGTTGTAAAAAAATTTATAATAAAAATTTACTTATATTAATATTAGTAAATATACAATTAATAAAAATTAACTGATATATACCAGAAGTAGGAGGATTATTTAACCCTTCAGTAGCAAGGGTGACTGGTTGTAATATATATATATATATAAATTTACTTATATCAATATCAGTAAATATAGGGGTTAGGATCTTGTAGCCTAGTGGTTTAGGCACCTAACCCTCCAAAGATGAGATTGATGGTTTAATTATAGCTGGTGTTAATTAATTTAATTAATTATCTCTATAACCTTTGAGAGCTTTCGAATGCGGAACCCTGTAGCAATAAGACTATATGATGTTCATATTTGGCCTATAAAGAATTTTTGGAAGGAGCCCTGAGCCATAGAGAAGACTGGGCACTAGTGTGACATTGGTCATAGAAAGTTTACTGCAAAAGGTTGTGCATGTGAATCTACGATTGGCAAGGTAGCACCAACAACCCTAAGGTGGCATTGGGATCTTGATTGAGAGAACAGCTGTATACAGTATTTTCAGAAGTGGTGAGAGAAGCGGTAAACATAGTAAGGGGCTGTGGTAAGAGGATGGCTTTACCAAATATAAAACACCTCTGGTGCAAAGAAACAAGAAAAACTAGTTAAAAGAAACTCCAAAAAGCATAGAAGCAAGTGATCTGGTGGTATAAAAATAAAGATGGCCAAGGAGTAATATGTCACACAACCTATATGGAAGTTAATGACAAAATATAGCAGAAGTGCAGATTCCGGGTCACTGGCATGTGACAGTGATTAAATGAGATACATAACTTCTGTCTTAAGGATCTAGACTTCTGTAACACCATACCAATAGAGAGTACTATAAAAAGAATAGTAGCCTAATTTGGTGGAGTACAACGTGAATACCTGGATTGATGTGAAATAACATCCTAGTTTGGCACAGATGATTGTTGAGATATAGCTAGGCCCTTAAAGTAGCTCCCTAGGGCACAAAGAGCGCCTACTCAAAAAACACCAATTTGAAAGTAATGCAAAACCTGAATTAGAAGTAATATGATAAGTAATGAGAGTGAAAGTTAGTCAGTAGATGTTGTATAGTAGTATATAAGCGGGATATATATGATAAAAATAGGTTTAGGTTTGGGAACCATCCAGTCAGTTTGAAACCAGCCTGGTGTGGGATGGTTAATAAGGAGGTAAAATCTCATATAGCAGGTCACACATAGGTACTCAAGTTAGTAACCGGGTGAGCTGATACTGTATATACTAGATAGTTAATTGTATTCATGACATTTGTAATCAAAAATACCTTAGCATAAATCTAATAAACAGTAAAGGCAAGACTGCTGAATTAAAAAAAAAAATCAGTAAAGATACAATTAATAAAAATTAACCTATATATACTAGAAGTATTTGACCCTCCAGTGGCAAAGGTGGCTAATTGTAAAAAAAATTAATATATATAAATAAAAATTTTATATATATCAATATTAGTAATATATAATTAATAAATTAACTGGCAGAGGTGTAGTGGCTTAGTGAAGTGGTCAAGTTGTCACCCTCTCTAAGTGGCAGGTCTAGGGTTTAAATCCCACTGACGACAAAAGTTTGGAAAATAGACTTGCATTATGGTAACAGATCTTTATTAAGTTGGAGCTTAAATTAACCTGTAACCTTGGGTCATACCAAAACCCTGTATTGGAAAGTTGTTACTGCTAGAGCATCTGTGTACTGCCGAGCAGATATAGGATGTCTTGGTAGTGTTGGTAATACCGAAGAATGAGAAGGTTCTGGAACTCACTTGGCAAGTCCTAAGTTGGGAGTAGCAATAATCTTCGACAATACCACATAAAGGCTGAATTTGAACCGGGATCTGAGATTGGAGAACTGTAGGACCAGGTCCTTTAGTGAGGGAACACACCAGCCGAACCGCTGGTTTAGATGCACTAGAGAAAAAGGGCATACACTTCGAAAGTATGAACCAAGGGGAGGGAGTCCTTTAGGCACCTAAAGCCTAAGCAGACCAACCTTTTCAGGTTGCTGGCTAGAACTATGAGAGGGACCAATAAAGCTTCTGGATAAGGAGACGGCTAGATTGCAGGTACTGGGGTTGTTGTGAACCTTGCAAGGGCAAGAAGTATATAATAGGCGACTAGTTAGAAAGGTTGTGGCTTGAAATACAGATCGGGTTACAGCAGCACCCTAAAAGTTAGCTTGAGATACTAACTCAGTGATAGCAGCACAACAGGTACTAATTAGTATAGAAATTACCAAACAAGCAGGTAAATGCATGTGTGGGACATGCACCACTCTGTTGGGTTTACCACAAGGATAAATGCCTTCTGTTGTTGGCTAAAGTCTTAGAGTCTTTCACAGTAAATTACTGTTCCCAAAAAAGGTATATTAGGAGGAAACATGTGACGTTGGTTGAAGCCAGAGAGTTTAAATAGATAGCTTTCTATGTATGGCATCTAGTATAGAACCCCTAGTATAGTACTAACGCTTTGGGCAGACTACTTAAATAGGCAACCAAAAGTTGTACGTGTAACTAGCTATACTCTCATGATACTAATGTAATATATAAGCCAGTCTTCGGATATTGGCCCACCCATTTGAACTAATAAAGTGTCAGGGGTCTAAGTGGTCACCTTAATATTAAAAAAAAAATATAATAATAATAAATTAACTGGCTTCTTACTTGTTCTACCAGTATTAACATCTCTTTGTTTGCCTTTGCTATATTTATCAAAGGCAGCTGGTTGACCAATTTTTTTTTTTTTTTTTAGTATTTTCATTACTTAGTTATAATTAAACTAAAAAACTATACAAACTTAATTATCTGGGAATGACCGGGCAATTCAAACTTTACATAAACTTTCTGCTCCTATTTCTTGTTATATATTTTTTTTTGGGTAAATTAGTGCTCAGCCCAACAATAGACTCATAGTCACTATCGGCTGTTGTTTCATCATCGCTATCAGGTTCTGATGTGGGATTATTTTCATTATTTTCTGTATTATGCCAAAATATGTTGAGGAGATCAACCAGTTTGGGGTGTTGATAGTGGTTTAGAGGTTTGGTCCACCAAAAAAGAACTATTTTTCCATAAGAATCAGTCTGTGTTCTTAGTGCTTTTTGCAGCTACTATTCTTTCTGATGCCTACAAAATTTCTTTAAGCTAAAAAGTGAAAATATTTAAGTAAATTAAAAGAAAAAAATTAAAAAAAAGAAACAAAAAAAAAAAATAAATAAAGAAACAAAAAAAAAACAAAAAAAAATAACAAAAAAAAAAACAAAAAAAAAAGAAACAAAAAAGAAACAAAAAAAAAAAAACAAAAAAAAAA